CCCCTGTGACCCCCACCCAGGACACTCCCACCCGTGGGACCACCCCCACCTGGGACCCAGAGCTGTGGGTTGCTGTGGGTCGCTATGGGGCAGGGCTATGGGGCAGGGCTGTAGGTCGCTATGGGTCAGAGCTACGGGTCACTATGGGGTACGATGTGGGTCTCTATGGGGCAGGGCTGTGGGTCACTGTGGGTCGCTAGGGGTCAGAGCTATGGGTCGCTATAGATTGCTATGGGGCAGGCAATAAATTGCTATGGGTCGCTATGGGGCAGGCTATGGGTTGCTATGGGGCAGGGTTATGGGCCGCTATGGGGCAGGGTGTGGGTCGCTATGGGTCGCTGTGGGTCAGTACCCTTGATGCAGGGCAGGATCGCCCTCTGCTGGATGGCGGAGGGTTTCTGGAACCCACAGATGTAGATCCCCCAGGGGACGGGGGGTTATGGGTCCGTGGGTCGCGCTATGGGGCAGGCTATGGGGCAGGCTATGGGGCGGATGTGGGTCAGTACCCTTGATGCAGGGCAGGATCGCCCTCTGCTGGATGGCGGAGGGTTTCTGGAACCCACAGATGTAGATCCCCCAGGGGACGGGGGGTTATGGGTCGCTATGGGTCGCTATGGGGCAGGCTATGGGGCAGGCTATGGGGCGGATGTGGGTCAGTACCCTTGATGCAGGGCAGGATCGCCCTCTGCTGGATGGCGGAGGGTTTCTCGAAGCCGTAGGCGTAGATCCCGCGCAGCAGCGCCTCCCCCAGCTGCATCTCGTCAAACGTCTCCACCACCTCGTGCCAGTTGCTCTGACCAGTCACAACCAGTTAAACACCAGTCACACACCAGTTACCACCAGTCACACACCAGCCCAGCCCGTTAAAATCACTTAAAACCCCTTAAAACCCGTTAAAAACTCCTTAAAAACCATTAAAAACCCCTTAAAACCCAGCTAAACACCAGTTCAACCCATTAAAAACCAGTTAAAACCAGTTAACTCCTCCCAGTAAGGCCCTAACCCTTCCCAGTCCCTCCCAGTTTGGCTCAAACCCCTCCTAATGCCTCCCAGTTTACCTCTAACCCTTCCCAATCCATCCCAGTAAGGCCCTAGCCCCCTCCCAGCCCCTCCCAGTTTGGCTCTAACCCCTCCCAGTCCCTCCCAGTAAGGCCCAAACCTCCTCCCAGTCCCTCCCAGTCCCTCCCAGTGCCTCCCAGTGCCTCCCAGTAAGGCCTTAACCCCTCCCAGTCCTTCCCAGTCCCTCCCAGTTTGGCTCTAGCCCCTCCCAGTCCATCTCTAATGCCTCCCAGTCCATCCCAGTCCCTCCCAGTAAGGCCCAAACCCCCTCCCAATCCTTCCCAGTACCTCCCAGTCCCCCCCAGTAAGGCCTTAACCCCTCCCAGTCCTC